GAGAAGCCCCTCCTCTTCCCGCCTGTCCTCTGCGGCATATTTTCCTCCCCGCGAGCCCTCTCGTACGGCGGGAAAATCATTTAGTCGCGTGTCCCCGATAACTCGAGCGTTTGCGCGGACTGTCTCTGCCTCCGGATGGGGGAGACGGGCCCTGAGAGAACATGGTCCTGGACCCCGGGACCTTCCCACAGCACGAGCTCTTCATCCTGAACTGTTTTCTGACGGTCCTGAGGCCCGTGGAGGGCCCCGAAAGCCAGAAAACAGTTTAAAACAAAAAAACTCAGGGCCCGTTTCCCTGAAGACCCGTCTCCCCCACGGCGATCTGCTGTGATGCAACGTAACAAAAATGTTGGCTGAGTCCCCTCGGGGGTTCGCCCCGTCGCTGTCCGTGCCCGCCCCGTCGCCGCCTCGTCGGCGCTGGCTGGGTGACCCCGTGGGCGCCGGGGTCGCCGCCTCGTCGGCGCCGGCGGGGCCCCCCGGGCTGTCGCTCTGTGGGCGCCCCGTCGCCCGCCTCGCACAGATTGCGCGGCAACGCTCCCGCCATAGATTCTCCTTTCCAGAAAGAAAATAGACTCTACCCCCCCCCCCCGGACTTAACGCTTCCCCCTCGGATACTATAACATCACATATATATATATATATAGATTCTGCACACGCGTGCATCCTGAATATGAAATCCTATCACCCCAGCCAAACCGGTATCCCCCCTCTGAGGTTCCCTTGTAAAACACACTATGCGGTGACATCTTTTGTTCTAACATAACAACTTCTCCACAAATCCCTTGCAAAAAAAACGGGACGAAGTGCGCACGCGCGCGCCGTCGCGCGCGCATGCCGAAATCCTTCAAAAACCTTCGGTGTCAGAAGGATTTCGCAGTCGACGTTCCAAAACAAAAACATACAACAACACTGGGATTTGCAACACTGATTTGCTAAAAAAAGCTTACGAACCTTAGGAAAACCACAGGATTTTCAAGATGTTCACAAAATACTACCAAACGGGCTTCGCGCGCGCGCATGCCGAAATCTGTCGGACGCCCTTGCGCGTGCGCCGTCGCGAGAGTCCTCTGCAAAAAATGAGACGAAGTGCAGACGCGCGCGTCGTCGCGCGCGTATGCCGAAATCCTTCAAAACCAAAAGGTTTCGAAAAGATTTCAAAATCGTGTGTCCAAAAGACTTATATAAAAAACACAAGGTTTCGCAACACGGATTTTCAACAAAAACGTGCGCGCGCGCTCTTGCGTCGTCGTCGTCGTCGTCGCCGTCCTCCCTCCTCCCGCGTCGTCGTCGTCGTCGCCTACGTCGTCCTCTGTCTTCCCTCGTGTTCGTCGTCGTCGGCCTCTTTGGCGTCGTGATCGTTTCCATCGTCGCTGTCGCCGTGGTCGTCCTTCCTCCTCCTCCCTCGTCGTCGTAGTCGTCCGTCTTGTCGTCGTCGGCGTCGCCGTCCTTCCTCCTTCTCCGTCGTTCGCGTCGTCGCCGTCCTCCCTCCTCACTCGTCGTTATCGTCGTTGTCGTCGTTGTCGCCGTCGTCGTCCTCCCTCCTCCCTCGTCGTCGTCTTCGTTGGCGACATCGTCGTCGTCTTCGTCGTCGTCGTCGTCGTCGGCGTCGACGTCGGCGTCGTCGTCGTCGCCTCCGTCGTCGTCGTCGTCGGCGTCGTTGACGTCGTCGTCGTCGTCGGTGTCGTCGTCGTCGTCGGCGTCGTCATCGTCGTCGTCGTTGTCATCGTCGTCATCGTCGGCGTCGACGTCGTCGTCGTCGTGGGTGTCGTCGTCGTCGTGGTCGTCGTTGTTGTCGGCGTCAGCGAAGTCGTTGGAGACGTCGTCGGTGTCGTCGTAGTCGTTATCGGCGGCGTCGTCGTCGTTGTCGCTGTCGTCGTCGGCGTCGGTGTCGTTGCCAAGTGCCATTTGGTGCCCACCGTCACGGTCTTAAGAGATAATGCAAACCAAGTTGCGGGTGGGTGGGCGGGATGTTTGCGCGAGCAGTGGAGGTGGTCAAGCGCGGTGCAGGGTAGTCAACTGCACTCCATATGTTGCTGCGTCACAAAGTCTGCGCCACCTTGGGCGAGTTGTTGTTGGAATCTCATTCTAACATATACCGCCTCTGTTCCGTAGCCCTTAGAGGCCTTCAGCGGTCTTTAGTATAATGCTAGCGGCCTTTAAATGCCGTGCGGCAGCCTTTAATTGCCTTCAGCGGCCTTTAGTCGAAGTGAAAATCAGTGTATGATGCATATTCAACTGAGCTTCCCAAAAGACCAACTTAAGCCACCGATGCGAAAATCCAAAATATTGCCCACATATATTGGTCCTCATATCTCACATCCCGTGCGTACGTGACCCGAACAACAGCACGTGCGCGCATGAACCATAGTACTCAAGTTCCACCTAGCTTGGGCGCCAGAGCGCAGCGAGGAGAAGGGACCGTGCCAGGATCATCTCGAATGACAGCATGGCGATGGCGTCTCAGGTTTACCTATATTGGGCCGACTGTCGACGCCGTATATGGCCTTAAAACAGGGACCCCATGGAGCTCCTTCCCCCGAAAAGGTGGAGATTACTTACCCACTTTGCCTTCTAGGCCCGAGGTTCCCAGCACGCTCCAAGGATGCCCCCACGAGGCCTCCACGAGGCCTGCAGAGGCATCCACGAGGCCTCTGTCCACGATGCACGATGGCAGGACGGGCCGAGCGCCGTCATATAGCCAACGACGGCTGCGGGCCCCCGGCTGCGGGCTTCGGAGCCTTCTCGGGCTGTCTTGCAGCTATTTGGGGCTGTTCGGGGGAGCCTCTCTGGTCGTCCTGGAACCCTCTTGGGCTGTCTTAGGGCCAACGCGGCGGTGGGCCGACCTCCCTTTAATAAACCTCCCCTTCGTGAAAACGGCCTGGGACAGAAACCGACGGACCTGGAACCGCAAGAATGACGGCCGCGACGCCCTCTCGCGAACCGAAAACGGCCAATCCACGAATCAACGCGTCAGGGCAGGAGGTCCATCACCCTCCGAGAAACTGAGGGGGCGTCGCGGGGACGTTTCGGACCGTTCTGGGGCGGTGCGGGGCACCGGGCCATGGGGCCCTGGCCCCAGTCGTCTATGAGATGTGTGCACGCGTGTGCGCGTCTGCACACTCCGGATATTTCGCCACAAAAAGGGCTGGTCTGATTTTTGTTTGGGGGGTCTGCTGGGAGCTGTCGAAGGAGGTTTCGAGGGGGGGGGGGCTGGGCAAGAGGCCGCCCCTTCGTGGCTGGTCTTGGAAGGGGGGGGGTCCGAAACTGCTCGCCTGGGAGGGTTGTTACCCCCTCCCTTCTATTACGGCATCTGGAGTATGTGTATTGTGTATATATGTATGCTATATATATATATATATATATGTGTATAGTCGGACCTAGGCCAGAAAAACATCACTCAAGAGCATGAGACCCTCCGTCGGCCAAAACACACAGAGAACATCCAAGGATACTCACCCCTGGATGTACAAAAGAACGCCCCACAGACACGAAACACATTCGCGAACCCTCCCCGAACTGACCTCGATCTTGTGCCTCGGTCCGACGGTATTACGCTGCGTGGGACTGCGCCGCGCACCTCGCACCGCGTGGAGTGCACCGCGGGTGCTGCAAATCTCCCAGACGACGGCCCGGCGTGGCAATTTTCCCCGCTCCCGACGGCGGCGCCCGCAGGCACCTCCCCGTGCAAGGCGGGGCGCAGGGAGCGGGAGGAGCTCCATCCCCCTTGCTTCCTCCTCCCTCCTCCTCCCTCCCCCTCCCTCCTCCCCTCCTGCCAAGGACGCCTAACCCTCTGTGAGGGGACCTGGGTTAGGAGGGCCAACAGGGCCAACGACATCAGGGAGGGGGTGTCCTCTGCTGCAGAGATGAACCGAGCCCACCCGCCCAGAGGCGCGATACCCCGAACGCACAAACGGGGGCCTCAGTGAGGCCGCGTCGTCACTGCGTTTTTCGGGTCAGGGGCTCTCGTACCCTCGATGGAAAAGGGGGATGCCTCGGTGATCCTTTTCGAGGCTTGCGCTCGAGCGTGTGCCGCCCCCCCAAATCGAACCCCCAGTCGCGGCACCCCGTTGGCAAGTCTGCTCACCAGAGCTCGAGCTGTGCAGTGTTTTTCGTTCTCGTTTTGTTTGAAAAGTCCTTCGTTCTGTTTTCTTTCTGCCTCCTTCCAGCTGCAATTGAGTGGTGGACTCAGCACAATGGACATATCCCTGTCCCCGACTGCACCCCGCGGTCTTTCCCCGAGGACCAACTTCTCGTCTTGAGCCGGGCCTGGTCCCCTACAGGCCGATCTTGGACGACAAATAACAAATATTCAAATCATACCCAAAGCATGCTCAAATACCAAAAATAGTCCCCATACTAATTCCATGTATTACTTTTTTGAATATCCCCCCTGCAGAGGGACATGCCCGAATTAATTCTCGTCTCGAGCGGTAAGTGGACAGCTCCCGGGGCCCGTGAAGGGGGCACCGGGAGCCCGACTACACGGCGAGCAGAGATCAGTCAGAGGCTGCCCGCTCTGACCAGGATGCCGAGGCGAATCCAGCCGTGGCGAGCAGGGGTCGACGAGCGCGCTCCACTACTCGCACAGTAGCTACTCGCAAGTGGCCTGGATCCCCCGCCAGGGATCTACGACAGATCACGTCAGAGCAGACAGGTGTTTTTTCGGACGTTTGCGAGTAGGCACTTTGCGAGTAGTGGAACGCGCTCGGCGAAGGGGAGGGCAGCGGTGCCGGGGCCAGTTGCTCCTCTGGTTTCGGGGCCCGTTTTCATCAGGGGTCGCTGCTGAGCGCCTGTCCGGCGTTGCTCAGGTGGGCGGGCTACAAGCGGGGGGGGGGGGGGATGGAGAACTGAAAAACAGCCTAAACACAAACTTTTGGAGCTCTGCGCGGATTTCTTGGAAGTGCACTGGACCCCCCCCAGCGACGCCTGCGGCGACGCGCGCCAGGAAAGGGGGTCCAGCCCGGTTACGAAACACCAGCCCGCTGCCGTCGGCTCGCGTGCTCCTGGCCCCCAGGCCTGTCGGCGGACGTCTCCCACTCCTTCGCCAGGTAGCCGCCAAAGAACTTCGCGGCCTCTGCCGCGAGCCACTGGACGCGTCGCGACCGTCCACACATAACATCTCGCGACTAAGGATCCAGAGCCTGGGCTTCTGGCCCTGTATCACTTTGAGATGGCGCTCATCCTGGTAATCACATCCCCTCCCCCTCAAACAAACCCTGCTCCACCCTCCCGCCTTCCCGCTCTCCCGCTCTCCCTCTCCCCCCCCTCCCCTCCTGGGCCTCCTGCCCATCCTCCCTCCGTCTTCCCTCCTCCATCCTCCCTCCCTCCCTCCTCCTGCTCGTTCCTCCCCCCTACCCCCACTCCTCTTTGCTTGCTGCTCCACTCGCCCCCCCCCTGATAGACTCCACGACGAACGCGATGAGGCAGCCAACAACCCACAGTCACATGCCCACTCCTGAGCATAAGTGGAATGGGACGGAAGAGGAGGACGTCCTTTTTTCCCAGCTGGCGCAACGCACACCCCCCGCCGCGCCTCGCCCTGGCACTCGCTGGGCCGGCTATCCATATTCAGCTTCAGCAGTGGCCGGTAGGCGCCTGCACTCGAGTTCCAGCGCCACCCGCCCGTATCGGCTCGATGTGTCATGTCTCGCTCTTCCTCTCTCTCTCTCTCTCCCTCTTTCTCTCTCTCTCTCTTGAATGTGTTTTTGGTCTCTCTCTCTCTCTGTTTGTATCCCTCTCTGCCTGTCTGTCTCTCTTTCTCTCCCTCTCTGTCTCGTTCTTTCTTTATATATCATATATATATGTATATATGTGTATGTATATACATACATATATATATATATGTATATATATGTATGTGTAGATATAGGTATGTTTCCCTTTGTTGTTGCTCTCTCTCTCTCTCTGTCCCTCCCTCTTTCTCTCCACCATCTCATCTCGTCCTCACTGCAACCCCCTCCTCCTACTCCTTTTCCCCCCCGCTGTGAACGATGAATTGGGGGAGGTAGGGGTAGGGTTCGCATGTGGCTTCCTAGAGGAGGCCGGGGTGCTCGGCCTGCGTCCTGCACCCCCCGCGGGGCGGCCGCAGGGCGAGGCCGCAGCGCCCTCAACAACAATGAGGGCGTGCGACCCTTCGGCGGCACGCTGCTGCAGAGCGAGGGGGGCCGCGGGAGGGAGGGGAGGGAGGGAACGCAGCGGAAACAGGGAGGGAGGGACGAGGGGGCGGAGGTGAGCAGGGGGGGGAAGTCGGCGAGGAGGGCGGAAGGGGGAGGAGGGGGGGGGGAGGGTGGGAGGAGGAGGGGGGGGGTGAGGAGGAGGGGGGGGGAGTAGGGCAGGCTCGCAGAGGAACAGGGCCGGCGGGGCACCGAGGAGGGGGCGCGAGGTAAAACATGCAGCCGCGCTCCAGTTTGGGGTGGGTGGGGGGAAGGGGAGTGCCGCAGCTTGAGGGATCGGGCAGGGAATCGACTACAGACTTGCATTACCCCAGAATCTATTTTCTCGTCGACTCCATGAGCAGGACGTATAATGCTCGCACATTCGTTTTGCGGTTGTGCGGTGTTCATGTTCAAGAGACACTTTTTTCGGAAGCGGTGACAAACAAAAAGCCCCGCTGCTTCGCGGGCCACTATGCCTCCTCCCTCTCTCTTGACGGCCTCCCCCAGCTCTGCCTCCTCTCCCGCTTCTAAGCCGCCCTCCCCCTGCCTCGCCCCGCGTGCCCGCCTCCTCAGGAGGATCCACCATTGCACGATCATAAACTTTCTGAGGTCCGCGCCGACGCGCTGGCTTGGAGCTGGATCCCCCTCCCTGGCGCTCAGAGTGCGCCGGTTCCGGCGCTGGAGGCGCCGCCAAGGGCACCGAGCGTAGATCCAAAACATCCGCGCGGAGCTCCGAAAACTCCCTCATGCTTGCGCCGTCGTCTGTTCCTTGACCATCCTCCTCCTCTCCCTCCTCGTCCTCGCGGTCGTCACCCCCACTCCCCACTCGCATAGGCTGCGGCACCTTCTCCGCCGTACTCCAGCGTGTACTCGCCCTTGGCCTTCAGCTCCGAGTCGACATGGAACTCCAGAATGCCAACGTACAGGCCTGCGAGGAGGGTGGAGGACGATGGGGAAGGAGATGGTGAGGGGATGATGGAGACGGACGCCAGCACAACGAGCACGAGCCAGGAAGCCCGAGTTGACCAGGCATGGCGGCAAACAAAGCTAAGGCTGGTCAGACGCCGAACCTTTCAGCTCGGACGGCTCGACACCAGAGCCGCACTCAGACCGAGGTCTAAAGTTCATCGCCCAGCAACATCCCCAATGCGGCACGCGACAGCACCTGGCATCACGGCATCCGGCGAGCGGGCATGGCAGGACGGTGCAACGCCCATAACAATTCAAGGAATCCGCCTCCCACTTCCCCATGGGGGGCCGTCAGGCTGCGTGGCTGGGGCTTCGGCAACGGAGCAGCTCGGGCTTCATCAGCGCTCCGAGGCATACCGCAACGTTGCGTTGCGACTCCGCGCTCTGCAGCTTGGTAGTTGTGATGTTCCAGTCACCAGCTCTCAGAGCACATGGTTGCCAATACCCTCAGAAAGTGATCCTCTACGCTGCTGGTTAACGCAACAGTATTGGCCAGCGTGTACCCCAACCGGTAGGCTATTGCACTCTGGGCATGCATATCCTATCCACCATCCTCCCACCCTCCCCGCCGTCACCATCCGCAGCGTGGCATGCGATGTCAGTTGTGCTGTCATTCTCGATTCGGGCACATGTTGCCAAAGCGCGTTCGTTGTATGGCTGACTGATTGACTGGCTTGAGAATGAGCTCTTGAAAAACCTCTCTGAAGAACGAGCTCATGAGTGAATTATGGGCTTCCATCAACGACTGTCTCGAGAACGGGTTGGTAGGCCATCGTTGGGAGTTCCCTGGCATCCCGTCCCTCCCTGGGCTACCACGCACCCCCAGAATTCCCAGGCGCTCCTCGGGGCGCTTCTAGGCGCTCCCCATGCTCGTAGGCGCTCAACCGAATGCTCCTAGGCTTAAGTCGGGCCTGTCCCCCTACAGCGGAATTTTCGAGGAAAAATAAAAATGGTCAAAAACTACTCAAACATGACCAACAAATAACAAAACAATCGTCCCCAGATTATTTTTGACTATTCTTGAATATTCCTCCTGTAGAGGGAAAGGCCCGACTTAATCCTGGGCGCTTCATGGGGCTCCTGAGGCTATCACCCCTTGTGAAAATTACCCTGGCGAAGAAACCAATCCATTCTGCACGCGTGCAGGCT